TTCATAAACAGACATAAAAGTTCTTTTCACTCGTAGCAACCGAACTCAAACGAAGATACTTTCGTAATGGAGTCCGTTTATAGGTTACAAATGGCTATAAAATTGAAAATGCATGAATCCAATATTTATCATATAGCAACTAGCTTTTCTCACATAATCCCCCACCTACTTTGGGTCTATTACACATTCAGTAAATAAGGGTGCCAGTACTTTCCGAGTCAATGTCTTACGATAGCAACTGCATACGGACTTCTTGGTGTCCACATCACATGAGACAAGTCACAAGAACCTTGGCATCGTAGCGATGGAACAACGCATTATAACGGGAAGTACACTCGATGAGTATTCGGAAGGTCCGGGTTTCGATTCCCGTTGAGGGCATTGCACATTTTTCACGTCTCTAGCATCAAAAAATTAAATGGCGCCCGAACTAAAATGTTGTGGGTGATTGTTCGTCAACACTAAGATTTGGCAAATGAGTCCCCTCATCCTGAATCGCCCTTTAAAAGGAGAAGTATATAAGGTAGTTACTCCCTCTTTTCCGAATGCCTACGTGGTGTAACTGGAAACACACTTGACGCGCATTCGGCAGGTGCGAATTTCGAATTTCCGGCGCTTCCGGCGAAGTTCCGGAAATTTTAATGTCTTCAGTAAAAAAAATCCTAGTGACTCTACAGTTATTAACAATTATAATTACAGTTGTTACACATTAATTAAATCTACCTAAGCTAAATTCAATATTAAATCAGTTCCTTTCTATGCATATATATATATATATATATATACAATATTTATATAATATAGAATGTTTTACTACTGCCCCAACAAGGACCAAGGAAGGGTTCATTTACGAGGCTCTTAGGCCTTTATCTCCACATTATCAAAAATAGTATTAAATCAAAAGATGGTTCCGCAAAGAGGTAAAGATTTGTTGTCTAAATGCTAAAAATAACAAATGTAAACTGCCCTTCCACATGAAAAATCTTGCTGTACAAACAAGACTTCCTTGATGAATATTAAATTATACGCATTTTTTCTTGCATTTCATTTAAACTTATTAGATTGAATTAACCTACTTCGCCTACATCGCATAAACCACATAGAATAATGCATTCTTTAAATTCCTTTGTTTACATAGCGCACCTATGGCGCTAGGTTTACTTAAAAAATTACATTTCGTTCATATTATAACTTGAAATGCAAAAAAATTATATAATTTAAGAATTATCTAATCATTGCTACATACTCTATTCAAATACTAAATAAGCTAGACTAATGTATAAAGAAATTAAGCAAACAAAACAAAAGAAACAGTTTCACAGACGATTCAGTATTTCTCATTCATTAATTCATTTTCTCACTTCGCGACAAGGCAAAAATACATAAATGCTCCAATATCTGTATTAAAACTTACGAAGTAAATCTAAACCTTATTCCTTGAAAATTCAAGAAGCTTAGCATGATTAATTGGTAATAATAAATGAATGCGTTATCTTTGTTGTTGCGAAGCTAAGTTCTCTAGATTGGCAACAAATCCACTAGTCTCTCCTGTTTCAAATGTAACATCAATGCCCCCTCAAATAAGTTTATTGCACTTAAACAATTTTAAAATTGTTGAATAATTCTAAAAATATCGCATACAGATTTACTAAAGTATAAACCTTTAACCGGAAAAAAAACAACAATTCAATCATTTTTAAAGCAAAAATGTACAATTTACAAACATATAAGAGTAAAGAAACTGAGATCACTGAGCCGGTAACAGAGTTGGATATATTTATAAATATATTTTTATAGTTGGCGCGCCGATTGAAACAAAAACCAAAATACGAGGTTCACATCTAATTTATAGTATCCTATATACAAAATTTCAACGTTCTGAGCTACTCGTTTTGATAATGCGAGATACTTCCATACGCCGTACGTACGTTTCGTACAGACGCCATGAAAAATTCTCTTCAGAATTCATTTTTAGCGTTTTTTAGTTTTTTTGGAGGAAAAGAGTCTTTTTTCGTCCTTACGACAGATATCACGCAAAACATCGTTAAATTGCATTCGAAAGCGTCAAAGTAGAATTTTTCGTTGAATATATGCTGCTTGAAGCTTTTCGCGATTACATACTTCTTTTTACTTCGTACCAAGAAGTAAAAGTAAATATAACTGAACGACTTATTTATAAATTTGAGATTGAAAAGGCCCAGAATCAATTTTGAAGGGGTTGTAGAGACATTAGGTATTTTTTGGAAGCAGGAAAGATGAAAAATTAGCAACCGCCTTCGCCGGGAATCGAAACACGTACCTCTGGAATACCGGCCTAGCGTGCAGAACCACTACACCACGAGGGCACGCTAGGAAAGCGGGAGGTTATAGGGTTACATTATGAATTTTGAAAAACTTCGAAATTTCCTTGATCAGTGGCCTTGTGTTAACAACACGAGAGCAAAAACAGCTTTCAGGTTGCAGATGCTTCGAGTCTGGCAGAGGGGGCGGAAAGCGGGAACTCGTTAGGCGAGTTAGATTTAAAGAGGCAGGGTTTGAACTGTCTCTGAGGAGAAACTTTTGAATAAATAAATTAATAGCTTTAAGTATTATGACAAATAAAAAATAAATAGCATAAAATTCTCTTAAAGTGACTAAGTTTAATTAAAGTATCAGTGCACGAAATACTTTAATTAAGCTTGAGATTGCACGTTTTACAATATTACCCGAAAGAAATGGAATGGAAACAAAAAACAATAAAAAATAAGTAAGCAAACAGACAACAAATAAAATAAACAAACCACAAAAAAATAAATAAGCAAATAACAAACAAATAAATAAGCTATAGAAATTTAATACATATGAGAGAAAATACAATTTTTTTTTTTTTTTTTCCTATTAGTATTTATTTTTTGGTTAGAAATGATTTACGGTGAAAGCAAACGTAATTATGATTTTTAATCTTCTGATACACTTTTTCAGATTTATTTCTGATACCAAAAGGAGCAGATTATTTAGCTGTTAAGATATGAGTATTTTAGTTACAATAAAGACTTTTCTGAAAAATTATAGATTTTGTGATTTTCATCCTGGATAATTCACAAGATTTTTTTTTCATTAATTATTTCGAAATATTTATCGCATACACATCATACAGCCTAGTATTAGAAAAACGCAAAATTAAAATTAAACAGTACCAGAAAACTAGCTCCGGAGAATAAGATGGAGATTTTGCACCAAATGGAAAGACATTTTTATCGAAAACTTAAGGTATCTGTCCCGCCTTCTTAGCATGCCTTCGTGGTGTAGTGGTCAGCACGCTCGGCGTTTGTTCGAGACCCGGCAATAGAACTGCTCATTTATCATGACTTTTGCTTCCAAAAAGTCCTAATGTCTCTACAGTGGCGACCGAACTGAAAACGGGGTGGATGATGATTCTCCACTAGCAGGATTTGGCGATTGGGTCCTCTAATCCTTTTACAGAAGACGTATAATAAGGTATTCCTCCAGTCTTCTTAACATGCCTTCATGGTGTAGTGGTTAGCACACTCAGCGCGTATTCGAGATGTCCATGGTTTGAGTCCCGCGGAGGGCATTGCTTATTTTTCATCAGTTCTGCTTCGAAATAACCTAAAGTCTCTACAAGCAGGAGTGAATTTTTACTTCCTTGTACGAAGTAAAAAGGAAGTATTGTAATCGCGAAAAGTTTCAGGCAGCATATTTCAACGAAAATATCCACTTTGACCGCTTTTGAATGCAATTTAACGATGTTTTTGCGTGATATCTGTACGTAGGACAGAATAAAATAATCTTCAAAAAAATTATAAAACTGCTTTAAAATTAATTTTGAAGAGATTTTTTCGTGGCGTCTGTACGAACGTACGTACGTACGTATCTCGCATAACTCAAAAATGAGTAGCCTCAGAGCGTTGAAATTTGGTATATAGGACTGCTATAACATGTAAATGTGCAACTCGTATTTTGGTTGCAATCGGCCGCACCAAACGTATATAAATTATATTTATATATATATCCACTCATTACCCGGCTCAGTGATCTCAGTTTCTTTACTCTTATATGTTTAAATTGTACATTTTTTTCTTTAAAAATGATTGAATTATATTGTTTTAATCTTCCGGTTAAGGATTTTATGCCTTTAGTAAATCTGTGTGCAATATTTTTAGAATTATCAGCAATTTTAAATTGTTTTTTAATTGCCGCTAAGTCTGTTTTAATGGCGGCCATATGTTTACATTTGAAACAGGAGACTAGTGGATTTGTTGCCAATCTAGAGAAACTTAGCTTCGCAACAACAAGATAACGCATTCATTTATTATTGCCAATTAAATCATGCTTAATTCTTTCTGGAATTTTTTCGAGGAAATAAGCGTTTGAATTTACTTCGTAATTTTTTAATATACATATTTTGAGTTTTTCTATTTTTTTGCCTTCTCGCGAAGTCAGAAACTGAATTAATTAAATGAGAAATACTCAATCGTCTGTGAAATACTGTTTCTTTTTTGTTTTATTTGCTTAATTTCTTTTATACATAGTTCTAGCTTTATTATAGTATTTGAATAGAACATGTGGCTACGATTAGATAATTCTTTAAATGATACACATTTTGTGCATTGTGAGTTATAATATGAACGGAATATAATACTCTTAAGTGAACCTAGCGCCAGAGTGTCGCTATGGTAAACAAAGTGAATTTTAAAGAATGCATTTATTCTATTGTGGTTTATGCGCTGTCGGCGAAGTAGATTTAATTCAATCTAATAAGTTTAAATGAAATGCGAGAAAAAATGCGTATAATTTAATATTCCGTACAAGGAAGTCATGTGGTGTACACATCAGATTTGTTTTAACATAATATGCTTAAATTTTTTTTTTATTTCAGCTGATATAACTGAAGAGATAAAATGTTAAAATGCATTAATTTTAATTCAAAAAGGACAAGAATACTTTGACGTGTCTAATTTACACTAAGTTACTAATCAGAGAACATTAATTGAACTTACGAAGAACTGTAATGGAGACAGTCGCACGTGCAGTCCCATGGCGATTGGTGACAACGCATGTGTAGTTACCACCCATAGCTCTAGACAAAGAAGAATTGAAAGACAACACTGGTCCTCTGGCTACCACTCGTCTTCCGACCTTCCAGGTGTAATCAGCTAATGGATGCGCCAGAGCATTACATATTAAATCATCCAAAATTTCGCCCTCCATCACTTCCAATCGCACTGCAGAAATCTGGATGTTTTCTGGTGGATCTATAAAAGAGGAAAACAATGTAGATAAGTGCATTTTTTAATCTTCCAGTACCAGAATTTGGAAAATAAATCGAGATGATGTTACCAATAAAATACAGGACGTACGGGATGCAATTTTGAGATTTAGTGGTAAACACAAAAGATGCACTTTATCCGTTTGCATCGGGTTTGTATTTTCGCATTTTGCTCAGTAGCTGTTATATAATACATGATAGATAATGCATATATAATGCATAAGAGATTTAGAAAGCATTATATTTTAATATTCAGTATCTCCTAAAGTATGTCTGAAAGATTTTGAATGAGAATTTTTTAAAGAAATAAGGAACGAACAATTTTTCCGCTTTATTATTTTATTTTTGATATCCCTTTGAATACGTAATATCTTTAGTAAATATATCGGAATAATGCTTGAGCCGCATTAAGTAAATAATAGTCTTTTTTGTTATGCATGAGCTGTCTGAGAATGTGTACAATGTAAGCAAGTACCCTTTGGATAAAAGCTGCAAGTTTATAAAAGCAGGATATTCAATGTAATACATAAATGTAGCTTAAAATTGAAAGCGAAGGATTTTTTTTTTTTATTTATAACCCCCAATCTTTCGAAATCAAAATTCATATCTTTGAGTAATACATTTTATCGGTTTAAAATGCGACGCTAAGTAGAAGTATTTACAGAATTTCGATTTTTTAAAATTAAGTATCTACTTTTCTGTTATGAAAACAGTTTTTACATTTAAGTGAAGCAATTAATCTAAACAAGCATCATTTTTCTTAACGAATACTAAAATTTTGTACCAGAAAGTTCCACATAATTATTCTTAAAATATGATCATAAAGAAGAAAGTTGATGATCGTAAACTGGTTTGGACAAATTTTTCTTCAGAACGTGATTTATGCTTTGAAAGGGGAAAAAAGGTGGTTTTGAAAGTATTGCGAAACTATTTTTAGGCCAGCGGCCTTAGAAAATTTTAGGTGAAAAAACAGACCCCGCACTGAAGTGTTCTTTTGAGTCTTTCGCTATATTTATTCAGAGATTCTAGAGAGGATGAAATGCCTTCACATGGAAGAAAGAGAGACCTTTTGGAGCTTTGGAATTAAAACTACCTAAAATATTCCTTTAAGAATTCCTTCAGGTTCTATTTTGTGCTATTTATCTTCAATGTTATCTATCGTTCGCCAGCTTTCTTAGTTCGAGAAAGAAGTTTTAGAAGGATTTACTACTCACTTAAAGGCTAGCCTGCACATATATAATGCAAGTAGCTCAAAATTTAATTTTATATGGTATTTTCTGCCTACTTTCCGCATATGATCGGAGTGCAATTTGAAGCATATTCGACGCGTACTCTAGAGGTCCAGGGTTCGAGTCCCGGCGAACTGCACATTTTTTTGCGTCTTCTGCTTTAAAAAAAAAAAAAAAAAAAAAAAAAAATATGATTCTACAAGTGGCGTCCGAACTAAAATGTGATTTACGATAATTCGTCACCACTAGGAATTGGCGATTGGGTCTCCTAATCTCCAGACGCCTTTAAAAAGGGCAATTATTTAAGGTATTTTCTTCCCTTTTCCGCATGCCCTCGTGTTCTAATTGGAAGCATACTCGATGCGTATTCGAGAGGTCTAGGTTTCGAGTCCCGGTGGCATAATGGCAGACCGCACATTGAGTTGAACAGTGTTAAGAGAATTTCGTTTACTGCGCATGCTTGATGGTGTACCTTTGGCGCGGAGAGAAATATTGGCGACTAAGCAACCCTACGTTAGCTTATTCGTGATCTCCATGGCTGTCGTGTGTGTTCGAGTGATGTTTAAAATTGCAATGTTGTGGAACTTTGCTTATTAGTTATTTTAACGTCCATGCCGATTGCACTTGCTTATTTTTCTAATATATGTTTCATTTTAATTTGTCAATAACAGTGCATTTAATATTTGTTAACATATGTTCGTAATAATTCGTTACTTAAATGTAATTTGTTTACATGTTATAATTCAGTAATTGTAAACTGGAGTATCTCGCTTAGTTTGTTAGCGTATATTCGCGCTTTTATTTTCTCATTTCAAAGAATTTAATAACTTGCAAGCATTTGTTATATTCCTCAGTGTTTGTTTATGTATGTACGAATGGAACGTATGGTAAATCCTGAATTGTTTTTATTGCTTAAAAGTATAATGAATAAATTTTCAACTAATATATCTTAAATGTCAGTCTTTTTCTGAACGAAAATTTGTACAATTCCAAAGGAATGTGCAGAATTTCATAAGTATTATATTTTACATTTTGAATGTAAACACTGCTTCACATTACTTCGCAATAATTGCAATAATTTCAGCTTTCTAGTTGTTTGAGCAGTACAGCAAAAAATAGTATTTTAACACAGTAATTAATTTACATTTACCTTATACTCTACGAAGATTTAAACGCCAGATTTGTTTACAATTAGATGGCGATACGTCTACCAATACCGTATTTATTCTTTTTCAAATCGCGCCAAACATAGTAATTACGCCAAATTGTTTTCTGGGCGTGCGCAGTATGCAACATTCGTTTAACACTGTTCAACTCAATGTGCGGTCTGCCATTACGCGTCCCGGTGGCGTAATGGCAAACCGCACATTGAGTTGATCCAACGTTAAACGAATTTCGCGTACTGCGCATGCCCAAAAGAGAATTTGGCGCAATTTTAAAAGAAGATAAATACGGTATATGGTTGATATTGTGTTATCTTGGGCGCAAACAATTCGAGGTTTTAAAACGTGTCAGGTTGTAAGCTGCTTCATTACTTGGAGTGTACATGTCGATTGTAGACTACCCAAATTTTCTTTTAAAAAGGATTACAAGACAGGAAACATTACAAGATATATTAGCTGATTATACTTCTGAGGAATAAAAACAAATGAGTATTTACCATACGTTCCCCTCATATATACTTTAACAAATTAAGGATTAAATCTAGTTTAAATTACTGAATTAAAGGTCAAATACTTAATTATAAGTAAATGAAATAGACTGTTGCAATTGTAAACAGTCGATAAGACCTACATGACGAACAGGGTTGCTTATACTTAGTCTCCAGTATTTTCTCCCACGCCAAACGGTACACCATTGAGCATGCGCAGTAAGAAAAATTCCTTAACATTGATCAGTGTGCGGTTTGCCATAAGCGTTCCGGTGAGGGAACTGATCATTTTACAAGTCTCCTGCTTCAAAAAAAAAAAAAAAAAAAAAAAAAAAAAAAAAAAACGTAAATTTAGCGCAAACTATATTCAGATAAAAATTGTCATTATTCTCATTTTATAAATAATCAAATAATTAATAATAATCAAAGACAAAAGAGATAATACCATATAATATCTGAAACTGATATTATGGATATAACGATATAAATGTGCAAATTATACTTAACTCATATAAAGGTACATTTTTCGTACAGTGGTAATAATGTAAAAATATAACGTGAAAAATAGCCACTAACATTAAATGCTTCATTTAACAGTTATGAGGTATTTCCAACCAAATTTTACTTTTTAATAAATATATCAAAAATGCTTTTTCAATTTTTTTTTACTTTTTCTGGCTGTTTAATTTTACGCTCTACCCTTAATTCCATAATAAAATAAAACACAGAATATGTTATTATGAGTACTATAATTGTTTCCACGTACAATGCGTCAAATATTCCCTGGCAAAATTGAATTTTCCACTTTTTATCTCTTACTGTTACTGTGATTAATCTCGTTTGTCTGATATCAGAACTAGCTGATGAACTTCATCGTCGAAAGGAGGTAAGATTGTGCCTGTTGTTGGCGAGAGCCTTGGACTCAGTTCAACCCCCAATATATCTGCTACCGCCGAGGTGGGCGGGTCCAGGGATCTCCCACCCTTCCTCCCTTAACCCGAACCTCTCCAGAGGCAACCGACTCGCCGCATGTTTTGAGTGCCCTCATGCCGCACAGACACTATACACTTACAAACACCCATGCTTTCTCTAAGATTCGGACTCGAGCCCCTTAGTAGGTCAGGCAGAGTCACTAGCCACTATTCTGGTTCGGCGGTTATTTTTTATCTTTATATGATAATTTAACTCCTTCGCGCCGACTGTCACGTATACGTGCCAGCAACGAACACACTTATCTACCGGCCGACACGCAGGCGTGCCAGAGCATTGTTGCATTCTCTACCGACTGTCACGTATTTGTGCCAGTACCTTGGAACGTTTTTCAAACTATAATTTTCTGCCACAATGGCACTGTATGCCCATTAGTTTCAGATACAGTACATTAGACCTTCTACTCGAAATGAAGAAGCATGACTCACATACCCGTGTTTTTGATTATATAAACACCCGGAACTAAATGTTCCGAATGGCGTGATTTAGACGTCTCTTTAAATCGCACTTTATTCGCACGTGGTCGTTGTTTATTGTAAGTAGAAGTTTTATATGCGCTAAGCGTTTGATATATCCGTTTACAGTTCAGTTTTTAGAAAATAATTAGATCTTGTTAGACGTGACTTCTTTCTGTTTTTTAAAACCGTTTCAATGTCGAAGCGTCGAAAATGTTTAACAAGCATGAAATAGCAGAAATGATGCAAAATATTTCAGATATTCTGAAATTCTGATATTCTGATATTGATTCTGAAAGATTAACTGAAAGACATTTTCGCAAACTTTGTTCAGAGAGACTGATAAGAAAAGACGACGATGCTTCGTTTGTTCACATTCCCGGAAATATCCTCCAAAACGCAAATGAGTTATTACGAGTTCAAGGAATGTAACGTATGGACTGTGTGTAGATCCCGGTTTTAAAATTTTTCATACGGAAAGAGAATTTTAAGTAATATTTTAGTTTTCAGATTATAATGTTAAAAGTCATAAATGGTGAGTAATTAAATAAATGTGTAAAATATGCATTTAAAAACAAGAAAATAAAAGTACATAATATTATATATAAAATATCTATAAAGATAAGCCGTTTAAATACTCTATAGAGCATTATTACAACATGCGTTGATACTTCGGAAATTTCATGGATTTAGGAGGCTAAGTAGCAAAAAGCCCCGGCCCTGGAGAGACGCTCGCGGAAGACACTGCCAGCCTCCGCGATAAGCGCGCGTTTTCGCTACCCGGCTCGAAGGGGTTAAGGTTCGATTAGATGCATTATGTTTTGTAAAAGGCAGTACCTAACAACAAAAAGTTTATAATCAGGCATATTTTCAACGATACACTTCTCACGAATTCTTCAAGTAAATGTGAAACTCTTTTCGTCTGAAATGATAGTTATACAAAGCAAAACTAATTTTTCTGTTTTAATTGTTTCGTCAATTTCACATACCTGACTGTAATAACCAAGCTAGGCTTAAAGGAACCATTGAAGAAGTAGTAAAATCAGGAATTTATGAAAACTCCAAATGAATGCAAAGTCCCACGGAGTTATTTATTTTTAGTGGCTAAGAAAAAAAAGGATGGCAAGAATGGTGGACTGAAGATGTTACAGGAAGAACTACATTCAAATTCTTCCCTAAATTCTCATTTATCAGACTTTTTTCTGAACCAAATTTTCACTAATCACGAAGATCTTCCAAAATACTTAAACAGATTTAATTTGAAAGAAAGACACTAGATATGTATTTGTGGTAATACAAAGGCGGATGGCTTTTCATAGGATCATAGAATGTCCAAACGTGAATGAGGAAAGACTTACACTGTTTCCGCAAGCACTGTCAGAAGATATGTTGTCGAAGATCGTGCAAACGGATGGGGGAAAACCGCTTATCTGAAGTCTAATGGAATGTACAGGGGTTGGACAAAAATATGGAAACAACTTTAAAAAAACATGTTTCTTTGCTTAGTATGGTGTAGAAAACTCGTTGGCATCCAAAACAGCTTGCAGTCTTCTCAGAATGGATAAATACAGTCCCTGTATGTTTGCCAAGGGAATATTATACCATTCTTCCTGCAAAACGGTGGCAAGTTCAGATAACGATGTTGGCGGTGGATAACGAGAACGCACTTTCCGTTCCAATGTAGACCACAAAGGTTCGATAATATTCAGGTCTGGTGACTGTGGTGGCCGGGGGAGATGGGACAACTCATCCTCGTCCTCAGAAAACCAGTTCTGGACAATATGAGCTGTGTGAACAGGGGCTTTGTCGTCTTGGAAGACACCATCACCATCGGGGAACAAAATTTGTACCATGGGATGAACTTGATCGGCCAAAATGTTCACATAAGTCTTGGCAGTCATGTGCCCTGACACAGTTATCATGGGGCTAGCAGAGAACCACGATATGGCTGCCCAAACCATAACAGAACCCCCACCATGTTTCACTCTTGGCAACAAGCAGTCTGTATTATAAGCTTGAGATGGCGTTCTCCAGACGTAAACTCGGCCAGAAGTGGGAAACAATGTGAAAGAAGACTCGTCAGACCATATTACTCTCGCTTTCACTGCCCTATAGTCCAGGCTTTATGACTAAACACCACCTTTCCTGTTACGGGCATAGCATCACTGATGAGTGGCTTCTCAATTGCAGCATGGCCAGCAATTCCCTGTTTATGAAGCTCCCTTCTAATTGTTTTGGTACTCGCAGGGTTCGGTAACACAACATTCATTTCAGCAGTAACTTTTGCAGCTGTGGTCTTCTTATTTTTCGTCACAATTGCCCTTAATGATCGTCTGTCACGATCACTCAGGACACACTTTCGTCCACTCTGTGATTTAAGCAGATGATGTTTTTCCGCTTTTCAAATATGCGGAATAAATATTCGATACAGTACCTCTTGAAACACTAAACACCTCGGCTACCTTGCTTACGGAAGCACCTACCATACGTGCTCCAACAATTTGCCCGCGTTCGAAGTCTGTTAACTCTGACATAATGCAATGACAACCTCACTAACAGTACTACTCCGACAACAACTGAACTGTTTAGCACATTTACGAAGTTGTATAGGTGGCGTCAGCAGTCAAAAACGCCAGCGCCACCTACATATTTCATTAAAATCACTCTTTCTTTTCAAACATGCATTTCACAAGGTGTTTCCATATTTTTGTCCATCCACTGTATATATTACGGTGAAACACTGAAATCTAGAGAATGTCGACTTTCACCGGTGAATGTCAACATTCGCATAGTGGCTTGGCAGAGATTAAATTGCGCAGGAGCCCACTGGAGCCCAGCTCCGCTACTTCTTAGTTTTGGGACATATTCTAATTCTACCCGGAGCGCACCGGAGCTCGACCCTTTTTTTATGTAACTGAACAATTATTTCAGTAGAAATTTGGTCTAGAAAATTTTACTTTTAGCAAAAATAAAATTATATAAAAAATCGCGTATTAAATTTTATCTCTTTACATTTTATTTAATTTTAATCACTTAATCGTTAATTATTTAATAAATGATACAATTCATTATGAATTAATTAAATAATAATTTAAATTAAATAATAATAATATGTATTAATTATTGATATCATTCAAATAAAATAATTAATTTGATACTCATTAACTATTTAATTTTAAATAGTTAATGAGTTAAAATTATCAATGATTTTAATAGTCATTTTATTTATTTATTTATTCTTGTTACGCTTTCCTGACGATCTTCCATAGGGTTCCGGCACTTCTATTGGTGTATGTTCGAAATATTTTCCAAATACTCTTATTTCTGACTTACACTTAATTATAATGTCGACATTCACCATGTACAAATGGTGAATGTTGAACATATAAGAATATTATATTTTCTTCTCCGTAATTCAGTCGCAATAAGAACTTAAGAATATGAGAACTTAAAACACACAGCGCATTCAAAATGAGAAAGGAAAATAATAGACGTTAAAAACTCGCTTAATTATACAGTACGTTCTAAAGGAGAAAATAAAATAATAGTAATAAAATCTTACTAAATTATGTGATTCAAATCTTATTCATTGCAACAACTTAAACTATTATGACACTTTGAACAAGAGGCCCTTGCTTTTACAACTGCATTTATTTGTGGAACACTTCCTTTTGGAATATCAGCGTGCACATATACTCCTCTCTTTTCGACCTACACCAGAGCATATCTGTGATTGTCGACATACACCGGTGAGGGTCCGAATGTACAAGAATGTAACGAAATATTCGATCTTTCACCGACGCATTTGGTAAATGTTGACATTCTCTGGTGAAAGTGGACATTCTCCAATTTCGGTCTTTCACCGTAACATATATATCAGGGTGAAACACCGAAATCCGGAGAATGTCGACTTTCAGCGGTGAATGTCAACATTCACATAGTGGCTTGGTGTATGTTTGAAATATCTTCCAAATATTCTTATTTCTGACTTACACCGGTCAATGTCGAAATTCACCATGTACTAATGGTGAATGTTGAACATATAAGAATATTATATTTTCTTCTCCATAATTCAGTCGCGAAAAAACGCACTTTGAAACTTAACATAACAACTATCAAGAATATGATAACTTAACACACAGTACATTCAAAACGAGAAAGGAAAATAGTAGAAGTTAAAAACTCACTTAATTATACAGTATGTTCTAAATGAGAAATAAAATAATAGTATAAAAACTTACTAAATTATGTGATTCAAATCTTATTTATTGCAACAACGTAAACTGTTATGACACTTTGAATTGCACAAGAGGCCCTTGCTTTTACAACTGCATTTATTTGTGGAACACTTCCTTTTGCAAATGACAGCTTGTACGTATATTCCTCTCTTTTCGACCTACACCAGAGCATACCTGTGATTGTCGACATACACCGGTGAGGGTCCGAATGTACAAGAATGTAATGCAATATTCGATCTTTCACCGACGTATTTGGTGAATGTCGACATTCTCCAATTTTGATCTTTCACGGTAACATATATATTCAAAAGCAACAGAATTGTACTCTTAATTGTTTTGAGTTTCAATTATTATTATTTTTATGTTTAAGAGTTTAAATTAGTCAAGTTGGTACTACTTAATAAGATTAAGTTAAGAATTAAAGTTTAAATTAGCGGATCGAAGAAGATTTCTTGATTTTTTGTTTAATAGAAAGTATTGTTAAATGAAGCCGAATTGTAACTTCAAACTAATGTTTATTGTAGTTATAAGGATAAGCATGTAACATAAAAATTCTCGAATTTCATTACTGCATTAGACATATCATTTATATAATATGTGGCTTACACTGTATTGTTAATTGTAACTTTGTTTTGATAATTATTATAAATATTTTTATAGTGTGTTGTGCAATAAAGATGTTGAGGAGGTCAACAAATCTTCTCAGTCAGCAGACCTCAGCATTCTTTAATTTCTGAGCTTGCTTTCAGTTAGATTCCGGTCAGGGAATTCAAGTTATTCAATGCATTTATCTTAATTTTGCTGTTTAGATTTCAAGTTTTCAAGTTTTAGCCTATATCTCCGAAGATACTTCTGATACACGAGGCTCGGTTTGGATATTCCTTTTTTATGTAACAACCACGCTGCACATGGTGCATAATTAAGTTAAAAGTTCAACTTACACTCCACTCTAAAAGCCATGGTGCTGGATACTCCAGCTCCTATCTCATTCCCGGAACTTCTGCAGGTGAATGTGGCATAATCAAAGCTGTTGACAGGTAGGAGACTCATATTCCACGTGAGAACAGAACTGATGGAACTGAAGAGGTTACGACGAGGGTCAGGTCTATGGTGGGCAAGCTTGCTCTCGAATACTATGGAATCCCTGAGGCTTTCGTTGTTACGCAACCATTCTAGCTCGCACAGTGGGTGACATTCGACGTGGCAGAACAACTGGACATTGGTCGTGTTCCTCAGGACTCCACCCCTTTCTGGTAATTTCTTCACGAAGGCGGGCGGTGCTAAGACAGAGACAAAATGGACATTAATAAACATAAGAAGATTATGCTATTTTCAACTATTTTACTTATTTCACGTATTTTAATACTGTTCATTTAATCAAGTCTTGCTTATGTGTTGGACTATGCTCTGACAAAGCTCATGGACTTTGATTGTAACTTATATTACTTGCTTATTTTACTTATTATTTCTATTTAACCAAGAATTTATTTAGCACTGTGTAGTGTTCTATAGCAAAGACTTTGCTTACAGTGAAAAATTTTAGTTCGCGGTCTTATGACTCTTTCACTGGCTACTGGCCATCTCGCATCACGTGGTGTTTACTCTGCAACTTTAAAGAAATAAATTTCCTTGCATGGTTAATTAATTGTACTGTACCCGAATTGTGTTTCTGAAGAATAAGGATATTATTATCTCTTCAAATTGGCCTTTTTGATCTTCTTCAGTCTTATTTTACGTTTTATTGAGCAATTTTATGATTTGTTTGCACCGACCACTGCTAATGACATGCCATTTAATTGTATTTGAAAATGACTATTTGCTGAGTTTATCTCATGACTTCGATCTCGCCTTCGGGTGGGATGTATTTTTTAATACACTTCTTATTTTATTATCATTACTAATCTTATTTTATTATCATTACTAATTTTATTATCATTACTAATAACCTTTGGTAAAATGTTTAACTGCTGGTTAGAACTCTTAGAAGTTGATGCCAGAAGAAAAGATACGATCCTACGATCCTAACTATTTTATTTACACTTCACATTGATAAATCACGTGACTATTTATTTAGAGTAAACATCCAATATGCATTTGTTTATGAGTTTAACTGTGCGTTCAACAATTATGCTTAGTTAGAGACACTTTTGTAAACATTTTAGGAACATTTCATTAGCAAAAACTGAAACGCTTTCGAAACGTTAATTTTCAGATCGGGGAACTCGGATCGTGCCCAGAAACTCGGATTTCACGTCATTTTTATTACAAGTAAATAAATGTTTCTAGCGTCATGCGCAAGCGAACTCGTAAAATGAATGTGTAACTACTTGAATAATTCAGTCTTTTCTATATTAAATAAGACCCGAAACTTAACCATAAATAAATTTGCGAAGCTGTAATATTATAGGAATTTCACTTTTTCTTCCATGTTGTTTTCCCATATTGAAAAAAATCATTTTAACTATAAAGTTGTGTGCAACTTGAATTTCTTAGGTATTAATTTATTACGATTACTCTAACAAATTAAATTTATATTGTAAGGATCTTAAGTTTTACTAACGTTTATTTTATTTTAAATCTTTACTATCACTTCTTATTTTCTACTTCCGGCCAGAATTATAAGCGTTAAGGTTTTTATGCAAAGTTTGTCTGGCGAACGCCAAGTATTTAAGTTGTGGCTTTTTGCCAAGCGAGAGAGAGGAAGCAGTGAGTCGAAGCAGGTCGCTTACCTTAGAAGTTACGCAGTTGCTTGTTGCCTTCCAGGCCGGAGGTTTTAATCCTCTTGATAAATTTTAAACGTATTGTAGTGTTCACAGTTCTCTGTACTACATACGCTTCCTGTTAATATAAGGCCAATCTTCCACGTTTATTATTCTAAAGTTAAATTAGAGTTTAGTTTTATTTTTATACTTTTACGTTTTGACCCCAAGTAGCGGGTCGGTGTATTCCGAAGTACGGAAGTCATTGTAAATAGAGAAAAATAAAGGGTTTAGTATACCCTTCTTGTGTATCCTGTTTACTTCCCACAGTTTTGAACATAGCTTTAGTAAGCTCTCTGTTCCGAGTCAGGTCCTTGCATGTTCCCGAAGAAGGTTAGAAGGAATATTGAACCTGATAATATTATTCCAGTGTAAATTGAAATCTACATAGATCAGACTTCAGGAATTTTAGACTAAGAGTTATCAATCTCGAAACACGATTTTGTTTCACTTTTCATTCGAATCTGTTGCCAGTCAGAAAAATTCAAGGTATTTTTCCATGTGTGATCTATCTGCTACTGATAAACAAACTAAAGTATTTAAAAGCAATGGATGCAATTATGTTTTTTTTTAATTTAATTCGTTTAAATACACATGCATTTAATTTATGATATATCTAATTAAAAACATTAAATATTTTTATAGAATTACATTGTAAGGATTATGTTAATTTTATTAACAGTTAAATTTTATGTTAAAGTTCCTTTCCTGTCAAATTCTTAACTTCTACTTCTGGCCAGAACTTAGTTTTGGAATCTCGCTGAATATCTAATGAGGAGAAGCGGTATTTAAACCACGAAGTTACTTACCGACTTAGAGAGAATCAGAGTTTCTGATTTACGTGCGTCTGCCTTTTTGGCCACTCTCTCTCTCAAAGCTGTTATTACGCTCGGCCGTACTCAGGCCCTTGCTAAGCTTCGTAGTCAAATAAGTTAAGGGGCCTACTCGATTTGAACCTTGATAGTTTCGGCTATACTTCTTTAGTTAATCTTAGTTTTAGTTTACTTCTTATTCTTTTAAGTTCAAATCCAAATGCGGGCTTTGCTTGTACGCTCCCAGGCGAAGTTTTGTTAAATCTTATTGGGATAATAAAGGGTTAGTTACCCTTCTATCTTGATGTTTCTTGCTACCGAACTCAAGCGATTATTCGCTTATCAGTTCTTAGATTCTTCACTTCCAACATTAACTTAGAATTCCAAAGTGAGGAACTCTACAACATTACGTATATTTTTCACTTTTTTAATATACAGAAGATATAAAACGTCCCCATGTTATTCCAACTGATCCTCACTATCCATAATCTGCACTGATAGACCATTTTAAGCTATAAAGCAGCCTTTATGGGGAAATTTTAAAACCTGAAACCTTTCCTGTTTTATTTTTCTCATATTTTATTTAGTATTACTAATATTTATTTATTTGTTTATTATTTATTTGTGAAACGTTGACGGAAAACCTTTCGAGGTTTTCTAAAGACTTCGAGCCAGATCTGAAACTTACTAACATATTTTCTTAAACATTTTAATTAAAAAATGTAACGAAATTAAAGCTGTATATAAATGATAAGGCAACAGCTCGTCAATTTTAAGAGTAAACTCAGTTACAAGCCGTTTGTTAAAATTGCGCAGCGGAATTAGTTTCAGCAAAAACGGGTATAAACTTAGCTGATGTATACTGTCATAAACATAAATTCTTAAAATAATTCTAATACTTAACTTTATTCCTTTAATTAATTGCAAAGCTAAACATTAAAATAAATGAGTTAAGTAATATGTATCCGTTATTACTTTACATTTATTTTTTTTTCCATTAGCTTTCCAGCTAAATCAAATAATATATATATATCATCTATAACTGATTAAACATTTGGCTCACGAGCTGCGTTACTGAGTGACAAATTTTAATACACCAGACTTTCGTTAACAGACATTGATAATGACCAATCATCAATAATAACATATCATTAAAAGAAACACTGATACATTTATATGTTCAATTCTTTTCCTAAGGCGAATAGCGTGATTATCGACAAAGCAACGGTTGTGCTCACTTTGGAATCGTCTCGAGATGGAAGCATCCAAAGGGGCTAGCAAATGATGATGTAAATGACTTTTACGCTGATGCGATTTCTGACAACGTTTTGAATCCTTGGGGCGGAAAACGTAAGCTTTTAATCCTCGAAGATTAATCTAGGAGGATTAATGCGTCACGTATTACAACTGAAAGCGTAATTTACCTTAATATCCATCCCATTCATATTCAGCGATCATATATGATCCGTGTAAGTAATGCGGTAATTCGATCTGGACAGTTCTGGTTTGGTTAAAATCGCTTTATATTAGCAAGAAAAAATGATAAATTGATTAAATTAGAAGCATGTGTGCTACTTTGTATGATTTCAGAGGGAGCATTAATTTGGCTTTAATTATGTTGGATGTAGAAAAGTTAGCAAAACGTAATCTTTTCAGTTCTTATAACTAAGCCTATCATGATTGAAAAAATCTGATGTGTACACCACATGACTTCCTTGTACGGGATATTAAATTACGCGCTTTTTTTCATGCATTTCATTTAAACTTATTGGATTGAATTAAATCTACTTCGCCGAAAGCGCATAAACCACAATAGAATAAATGCATTCTTTAAAATTCACTCTATTTGTTTACCATAGCGACACTCTGGCGCTGTGTTCACTTAACAGTATTATATTTCGTTCATATGATAACTCAGAATGCACAAAATTTGTATCATTTAAAGAATTATTTAATTGTTGCCACATGTTCTATTCAAATACTATAATAAAGCTAGAACGATGTATAAAAGAAATTAAGCAAAGAAAACGAAAAAAAAAAAAAAAAAAAAAAAAAACGTTTTTCACAGACGATTATGTATTTCTCATTCAATTAATTCAGTTCTCACTTCGCGACAAGGCAAAAACGCATAAAAACTCAAAATATCTCTATTAAAAATTATGAAGTAAATCTTAAGCACTTATTTTCTCGAAAAAATTCCAGAAAGGATTAATCATGATTTAATTCGCAATAATAAATGAAGGCGTTATCTTTGCTGTTGCGAAGCTAAGTTTCTCTAGATTGGCAACAAATCCATTATTCTGCTGTTTCAAATGTAAACAAGCAATGGCCGCCACGAAAAAATTATTAGGCTTAGCGGCACCTAAACAAATTTAAATTGCTGATAATTCTAAAAACATTGCATTTACTAAAGGCATAAAAACCTTCACCGAAAGGTAAGAACAACGTAGTTCAATCATTTTTAAAGCAAACAATGTACAATTTAAAAACATATAACAGTAAAGAAACTGAGATCACTGAGCCGGGTAACAGAGTGGATATATATATATATATACATATATTTATATACTTTCGGTGCGGCCTATTGCAACCAAAATACGAGGTGCACATCTACATGTTATAGCAGTCCTATATACAAAATTTCAACGTTTTGAGGCTGCTCGTTTTCGAGTTATTCGAGATACGTACGTACGTACGTACATACGTTCG